GGTTGCTTTATCTTTCTAAACTGAACTCTACCATCCTTCATAGTATGAATGTAAAAACCTTCTGGAATAGTTCCTGATTTAATGTATTCTACCAAAAACTTTTGTTTCATTGCTTCAGTGACTTTATTTGTCATTTCAATCAAAGGTGAAGCTAGCACAGCGATAATGGATTTCATGACTTTTTAGTATTTCATGCAATCTTAACAGATAGCCTTATAAGTACTTCCAGTGTCCCTAGCTGTCCCTCCTTTTTATATAACTCCATGACATTTATAATCTCGCGAAACTTAACAGGTAGCATAACAGATTAAAATCAGATGAGGTTTTGAACCAAAATTTCTAAGCAACGTTGTCAAGGATTTTGAGGAACTAGGGACAGAGTGTGGCAAAGTCCAAGATTTAATTTATCTTCATCTGTTTCATCAGCTATCTCATCTAATATGCCAATATTTTATTCATAACTCGTGGCAAACTCACTAACTTTCATTATGTTCATCTGCATGCTTCATCTGATAGAAAGTATGACTTTCATTAACTCTGTGAGATAATGAAAACTACTAGGGACAGAGACCATGGCAAAGTTTATGATTTTCATTATTTCCGGAACTTAATGAAAACTACTAGGGACAGAGACCATGGCAAAGTTCATGATTTTCATTATTTCCGGAACTTAATGAAAACTACTAGGGACAAGAGAGATGATAATCATGACAAACATTTACGAAGAAAGTTTTGACAAAACATTTACGTTCATGTTTGACAAAACTATCGCTCATTACGATGAAGAAATCATGAACAAATCATTTACGCTCATTACGATGAAGAAGTCTTGACAAAACATATACGCTCATGTTTGACAAAACATATACGCTCATTACGATGAAGAAGTCATGACAAAACATTTACGAAGAAATCATGACAAAACATTTACGTTCATGTTTGACAAAACATATACGCTCATTACGATGAAGAAATCATGACAAATCATTTACGCTCATTACGATGAAGAAGTCTTGACAAAACATATACGCTCAGTTTGACAACATATACGCTCATTACGATGAAGAAGTCATGACAAAACATATACGAAGAAATCATGACAAAACATTTACGATGAAGAAATCATGACAAAACATTTACGCTCATGTTTGACAAAACATTTACGATGAAGAAATCATGACAAAACATTTACGCTCATGTTTGACAAAACATATACGATGAAGTTTTGACAAAACATGTACGATGAAATCATGACAAAACATTTACGCTCATTACGATGAAGAAATCATGAAAATTCAATGAGGTGAGAAAAGAGGTGAGAAAAGAGGTGAGATCTCACCACTTCACCTAAACATTATTTTTGGATCATTTACACTCATTACGATGAAGAAATCATGAAAATTCAATGAGGTGAGAAAAGAGGTGAGAAAAGAGGTGAGATCTCACCTCTTCACCTAAACATTATTTTTGGATCATTTACACTCATTACGATGAAGAAGTCATGACAAAACATATACGAAGAAATCATGACAAAACATATACGATGAGGTCTTGACAAAACATATACGTAAACATTTATTTCCTGTGTTGTTGTCAAAATGTCATGTTGTCACACTTTTTCAGAGAAGTTAAATGACCTGGTAGCACATGGTGACGTAGTGACACCTTCAGTTCTTCAAAAATAATTCATAACTGCCTTCCTCCTGTGTTGTTGTCTAAATGTCATGTTGTCTCATTTTTTCAGAGAAGTTAAATGACCTGGTGACACATGGTGACGTAGTGACACCTTCAGTTCTTCAAAAATAATTCATAACTGCCTTCCTCCTGTGTTGTTGTCTAAATGTCATGTTGTCTCATTTTTTCAGAGAAGTTAAATTACCTGGTGACACATGGTGACGTAGTGACACCTTCAGTTCTTCAAAAATAATTCATAACTGCCTTCCTCCTGTGTTGTTGTCTAAATGTCATGTTGTCTCATTTTTTCAGAGAAGTTCATTAACGAGTGACACATGGTGACGTAGTGACACCTTCAGTTCTTCAAAAATAATTCATAACTGCCTTCCTCCTGTGTTGTTGTCTAAATGTCATGTTGTCTCATTTTTTCAGAGAAGTTCATTAACCGAGTGACACATGGTGACGTAGTGACACCTTCAGTTCTTCAAAAATAATTCATAACTGCCTTCCTCCTGTGTTGTTGTCAAACATGAACGTAAACATTATTTTTGGTTCATTTACACTCATTACGATGAAATCTTGACAAATCATTTACGATAAAATCATGACAAAACATTTACGATAAAATCACGACAAAACATATACGTTTAGTTTCGATGAAATCATCATGACAAAGCATATACGATGAAGTCATGACAAAACATTTACGATGAAATCATGACAAAACATATACGTTCATGTTTGACAAAACATATACGATGAAGTCTATGAACATAATAATATTTCAAACCAGGAGCCAAATTCTTGCGATTTTCATATGGAATCTCTTCTCTCGGTTTTTCGAGGGAAACAATCATATGAAAATCATTTACACTCATTACGATGAAGTCATGACAAAAACATATACGAAGAAGTTTTGACAAAACATATACGATGAAATCATGACAAAACATATACGAAGAAGTCATGACAAAACATATACGATGAAATCATGACAAAACATTTACGATGAAATCATGACAAAACATATACGATGAAGTCATGACAAAACATATACGATGAAATCATGACAAAACATATACGATGAAATCATGACAAAACATTTACGATGAAATCATGACAAAACATATACGATGAAGTCATGACAAAACATTTACGATGAAATCATGACAAAACATATACGATGAAATCATGACAAAACATATACGATGAAATCATGACAAAACATATACGATGAAATCATGACAAAACATTTACGATGAAATCATGACAAAACATTTACGATGAAATCATGACAAAACATATACGATGAAATCATGACAAAACATTTACGATGAAATCATGACAAAACATATACGATGAAGTCATGACAAAACATCTACGATGAAATCATGACAAAACATTTACGATGAAATCATGACAAAACATATACGATGAAATCATGACAAAACATATACGATGAAATCATGACAAAACATTTACGATGAAATCATGACAAAACATTTACGATGAAATCATGACAAAACATATACGATGAAATCATGACAAAACATTTACGATGAAATCATGACAAAACATATACGATGAAGTCATGACAAAACATCTACGATGAAATCATGACAAAACATATACGATGAAATCATGACAAAACATATACGATGAAATCATGACAAAACATATACGATGAAATCATGACAAAACATTTACGATGAAATCATGACAAAACATTTACGATGAAATCATGACAAAACATTTACGAAGAAGTTTATTTCCTGGACTGTTGTCTAAATGTCATGTTGTCAGTAATTTTAAGAGAAGTTAATTAACCTGGTAGCACATGGTAACATGGTAACAGTGAAAACATTAACGAAACATTATTTTTGCTGAATTCAACAACAAAATGAACGAGGTCAGGATGTATGCAAATACCTTTGAATTCATTCATAACGCCTTAGTAAGCTCATAAAATGCTTGTTTTTGCATTCTCTACTGTATCTTCGAGTTCTTCTTCATCTAACTTCTCATGAACTTTCTTGTCTATGGAGTCCATAATATCTTTGACATAAAATGCATACTTTACAGAGCACCATTCAACAACAAAATGAACGAGGTCAGGATGTATGCAAATACCTTTGAATTCATTCATAACGCCTTAGTAAACTCATAAAATGTTTGTTTTGAGGTCGAGCCACTTTTGGCTTGACCGTATTCTTTCAACCAAAACTCAAGAATTTTCCTGTGTGAATTTTGTATAAAAAGCAACCGTCTGAATTCAGGCGGTTGTTATATTCTTCACAAAACATTTACGCTCATTACGATGAAGAAGTCTTGACAAAACATGTACGATGAAGTCATGACAAAACATATACGAAGAAGTCTTGACAAAACATTTACGATGAAATCATGACAAAACATTTACGCTCATTACGATGAAGAAGTCATGACAAAACATATACGATTAAATCATGACAAAACATATACGATTAAATCATGACAAAACATATACGAAGAAGTCATGACAAAACATATACGATTAAATCATGACAAAACATATACGATTAAATCATGACAAAACATTTACGAAGAAGTCTTGACAAAACATATACGTTCATTACGAAGAAGTCATGACAAAACATATACAATTAAATCATGACAAAACATATACGATTAAATCATGACAAAACATATACGAAGAAGTCTTGACAAAACATATACGATGAGGTCATGACAAAACATTTACGCTCATTACGATGAAGAAGTCTTGACAAAACATGTACGATGAAGAAGTCATGAAAATTCATGAGGTGAGAAAAGAGGTGAGATCTCACCTCTTCACCTAAAATATATTTTTGGATCATTTACGCTCATTACGATGAAAAAGTCTTGACAAAACATTTACGATGAAATCATGACAAAACATTTACGATGAGGTCATGACAAAACATTTACGATGAGGTCATGACAAAACATTTATGTTATACAGTAATGTTAGTCATGAATGTTTGTCCTACGTGTTGGCGTTAGTGTTGAAAAATAATGTTTGTCCTACATGAAGCCGTACAAGCGTTTGAATTTGTTTATGCATAAGATTACTCTCTTGTTTTCTGTATCTATCATAGAAACAAAAGCAGCACCTGTTTTTGTAAAGTTTAATGAAGTTTTCGATAGTTAAGACCTGTATAATAATAGATGCGTCCTCATTCTCAACATAATAGTAGAACTCAAACGAATGCTTACCATAAGCTGTTATTTCAACAGCTTCGTCAGATATTTCATCAACGAACTCATAAACTATATCGCCATACTTGCTTTTATTTCTATTGTTTTCAGATTAAAACACCAACGAAGGTTTGAGATTCTGTTGTCCGTTCATCATGATTTATATGGTCTATTTCTTTCAAATTGTTTGGATTTTCAATCCACTGTTCTGCAATAATTCTATGCTTTAAATGTGTTTTGTTGTTTAAACTAAGCTCAATATAACCATGATTATTTAAGCATTCACTCTTAATATGTTTGTTTTTCTTTCGACGAATAGTAAAAGGATATGTCGTACAAATCTCATAATCTTCATGATTTCTCAATGTTTCCCATTGAGTTTGTTCCCCACTAACGTTCTCATTGACGTCCTCAATATCTTCTTCCTCACTGAACTCGTCAATATTTTCACTAGCTCCTTCTGTAATGTTTTCATCGGCATTGTCATTGACTTCTTCTGTAATGTTAGATGTTGTTGTTTCGCTCATTTCTTTCACTAATGTTAAAAGTTATGTTGTACGAATTTTGAACAGAATTTAGAGCAGTTATGAAACAATGAAGTACTTTTACGCTATTGAAAGGAACTATGAGAGTGAAGTACATGACAGCAATGACAAAAGGAACTAATATCAAACCTAATGAAATCGCTCACGAGGACATAGAGTTTAACAAGTACTTTGTGGAGTATCTTATAAGTGAAGAGTATGTAAGACCTTACTTCATGTTTGACAGCATGAATGAGGATGTTATTTCATGGTTAAAGAATATAAGCAATGTTTTCGGTAAGTACGTCATAGATGACAAAGGTCTTGTTGTATTTTATGAGACAGCAATACGAACCAGGAACTAATGGATATTATGCATTCAACAGCAAAGAAAGGATTTAGTACTATTGGCATGAATGAACATTGCAGGAATGACATATACAACCTATGCTCACAAAGCCTTACACAAAAGCAATACAAATGATAGAACATAAGTGTCTAAGGTCAGCAAATGAAATCATTACTGTCAGTGGTTATGAAAGAACTGTTAGCAAAAGATGAGTGGAAACAGCTATTCTATTAAGGAAGGACGTTGCTGAACTAGTTAAACCTGTTGCACAAACATTGTTTCAGATAAGACCAGCAATGACTAAGAACCCTTTGACCTTAGTCAATGAGACCATAGAGGTTGAAGATAATGACATGAAAGAACTAGGAATGAATGAGAGAAGTTGTGAAGGATGTTTGAGTCAAAACACATGGTTCTTCAGAGCTGTTAAGAAACTTAGTAAAGAACGACAAGAATATTTTATAGAGAAGTATTGCAAAGGACATGTAAATGAATTGCTTGAAATAGAACTTAGAGACACTTTCACACTAAAGGACTTGAGGAAAAATAAGTACATGAGTGAAGAAGGTATTGACATAGCTAGTGTTATAAATGACTTAAGAAGATGTGTTGTCGTTATTGACGGAGCACGTATGACATATCTAGTGAAAGATTATGATGGATACGAGACACAACAACACTTGTGTCAGTAGATAGCAAGGAATTCAATAAGCTCATGAAGAGTATTTATGTAGGACGTATTGAGGAGAAGGATGTGAACGCACTGATGATTTATGAAGCGGGTCAGAACAAGAACTATCTTATGAAGTCAGGCATGAGATTCTTTGACGAAAGAGATGACATTTACAGCTATTTCAGAGGATATGAGTATGAGGTACTGAATGAAGTAGATGAGAACGTTATTGAAGGATATTTGAAACATGTTCACGATGTCATATGTAATGAGGATGAAGAGCTTTATGAGTATGTTTTGAACTGGTTCGCCTACATCGTTCAAAATCCTTGTGGAAAGACTGAACAGTACTTTTGTTAATAGGAAAGCAAGGAACTGGTAAGAATGTACTTAGTAATGTTCTATGCGAGCTCATTAGCAAGTACGCCAACAATAATATAACGGCAATAGAGAATGTGGTTGGTAGATTCAATGCTGCTATTGAGAACATGAAGCTCATCGTATGCAATGAACTAAGCTCATGCGATACGTCTAAGGTCATGAACCACGACGCACTAAAGTCAATAGTAACAGAGACTCAGTTGGACTTAAATCAGAAGTGTCAGCCAGTAAGAAAGATAGAGAATGTTTGTAATATCATCATGATATCTAACAACTTCAACTCAGTAAAGATTGATAAAGACGACAGAAGGTTTGTTGTCATTGACGTAAGCAGCAGATACAAAGGAAATTACGAATATTTCTCAAATCTCATTGAAAGCTTTAATGAAGAGTTTTATTCAAACTTACTGACGTACTTCATGAAGAAAGATTTAAGTGAATTTGATGTAAGGAAGATACCATTCACCAGGGCTAAACAAGAACTCATCGAAATGAACAAAACACCTTACCAAATGTTTTACGAGGAGTTCTATGAAAAGTTTGTATCCGGATGGAATTGTACAGAG